GTCTTGGAGCGATCTGAAGGTCCTCTGACGCCGTCCGGGACCGTGGGGAGGCAGGACATGCGAGAGCACATATACATATACATATACATATACATATACATATACATATACATATACATATACATATACATATACATATACATATACATATACATATACATATACATATACATAGACATATACATATACACATGCATATGCATATGCATATGCATATGCATATACATATACATGTACACATACATATATATATATATATACATACATATATATACATATATATACATATACCTATGCATATACCTATACATAATCATAAACATATGCATACACGTATACACATACCTTTACATATACATATACATACACATATACGTATACATAAACATATACACATACATATACATATACACATACATGTACAAATACATATGCATATACATATACACATACATATACATAGACATACGCATATACATACACATATACAACGACATATGCATATATGTATATATATGCATATACACATACATTTACACATACATACGCATACATATATATACATGCACACATGTCCAGATACACATGCGTATATAAACACATCAAGATATGCATATACATCTACAAATACAGGTACCTATACATATACACATGCATGTGCATATACGTATAAATGTACACATACATTTACAGACACCTACACCAATACATATACATTTACGTATACATATACACGCACACATGTACCTATACGGATACGTGCACCTATACATGAACATATACATTTACATGCTCATAAGCGCATACACATGCATATACGTACACCTATATGCATTTCAAAATACGAATACACCTACCTATACATGAACATATACACATACATATACCTACACATGTACATAAACATATACGTAAACATGTGCATATACATGTACATAAACATATATGATTGCCCACGTACATATACCTATACATATAAACGTACATATATATACATATATATATATGCATATACATACACATAAATATGCATACAGGTATCCATATACCAATGCATATACATATACATATGAATATACATGTACAAACACACATACACATATACATACACATACACGTCCACATACACATAAGCAGACGCAGACGCATACACAGACAGACATACATACACACAGACAGACATACAGACATGCATGCATGTATACATACATAGATTAGGACCGTGTCCGCTTCGTGCGCGCTTAGGTCCTAGTCGACTCCGAATCAGGCGTCCGAATGTTCTGTCGAACATCCCAGGATGCCGTGGGACAAGTATCCCAGGCGCACACTGCCTTCTTCTTGCGGGTGCGCGGAGTCTCTCGGGAGGCGCGTCGTGGTTCAGGGCGGTTGCGGGGCAGTCTGAGAGCGCCACGGGGCGCATCGGAGCCCTCGGGGACCATCTGGGGAGCGTTCGTCTGGGGAGCTTCCTGGGAGCCTATTGTGTTTGTCTGGCGGTGTCGTCCTCCTTGGGTCCTTTCGTGGGGGTCTCCTGGGGCCGTCTTTTGCTCTCTTGGGGATCACTTGGGCCGTATCGACGCTGTTTTGGACCGCGTTGGAGCTCTCGGTGGGCATTATTGAACCGTCTTTTGGTGAGCTTGACTTCCTCTGTTCCTGTCTGGGGCAGCAGGGAGCCAGGAATAGCAAGAGCGCATTAGAATATGAAGCACACAAACACGAGCTCCCTGCTAGGGGGACCTTGGGCTGTCTTCGCGCGGAGTGGAGCCCGCCCAGGGCGCCCCAAATGCATTCTTAGACTGTCTTGGGCTGGTTTGGGGCGCGTCTGGAGCCCCCGGGGTGGCTTGGAAACCCAATGTCAACCCTCTATCCCCGTTCGGGCATGCCTCTTTGGGGGCCGTTTGTGGAAGCTCTTGGGGCTCCTTTGTTGGCTGGGAACCTCAGGAGGGTCCTGGAGGCGTCTCGGGAGCCTCTTGGGGCCTCCTGCTCCCCTCTTGAGCCCATCTGGGGCATGTGTTGGGCGCTTTTGGGCTGTCTCGGGCGGCTCTTGGGCAGTCTCGAAGCGTTCTTGGGCTGTCTTAGCGCTCTCTTGGAGGCCTTTTTGGCCGTCTTGGGGCGGTCTTGGGGGTCTCCTCGGCCTTCTTGGAGCAATGGAAGCTCGAAGAGAAGGCCAAAAGCTTGCCTTCACTCAAGAATCAACGATGCTTGCCTCTTGGGGCTCTCTCGGGGGACCTCTTGGAACTTTCTTAGGGGCCCTACTGGGCCGTGTATTGGATGTCTTGGGCATATCTCGGGCTGTGTCGGCGCCATCTGGGCTGCCTTGCGGGGGGGGCTCGTCGAGGCCTCCTCGAGCCTCCAAGCGCTCCGTGCCGTGTCTCGGGCACCCCCTGGAACGCTCCCCGGGCCGCTCGGGAGAGCGTAAGAGGCCCGTAGCCGCCATGTGCTGTCAAGGCCCCTTTTTTGGAGGCCCCCGACCCTGCACTCTGGTATATACATAGAAGCTCATGTATATCTACACGTGAAGGGAGAAAGAGAAAGGCTCCCCGTATTAAGAGCAAGGGAGCCACTCAGGAAAGAGAGAAGAAATCCGAAGGAGGACCGCTTTAACGTGGCGCTACAGATGGGTTCAGCGTCGCAGAGCGCGCGCCACCGCCCCTACGCGTGGCACTTGCAGGGTGGGCAGGTGGGAAAAAAGGGGATGCCGGCTCGAGCCGAGGGGGCTGCAAAAAGGAGGAAAGGAGGAGAGAAGGGACAGTCCTGCGGTTCTGCCTGCGTGGGGGTCCTGCCGTCAAAGCGTACGCACTAACATCAATATATTCCCACGGGCTCTACCATTCAACAGCAAGGGAGCCACTCAGAAGAGACAGGGTAGTTCGAGTAAAAACGGGGGGAGATAATCCGAAGGAGGACATTTGTTACGCGGTGCTTATATGTGTATAAATCTATAAATGTGGGGGGGGCGGTCAACGACGCAGAGCGCGCGACACCGCCCACCATTAAGAAACGCCCGTTCCAACTGTCCCCTCCGCTCAAACCCTATAGACCCTGGCGCAAGCAGCCACTGGAGAGGAACATGCCGGGTCCCTCCATCCACTGGTGGTTGGGGGCACAGCTGCCCCCCATGGAGAGTCGGGGACTCCGCTGCATGGCAGCCGCAAAAGAAAGCGCGAAAATAACAACGCAGCCTCGCAGGCCACGCAGGCCACCACGCCAACGCCGCCAGGCCAACGCCACCAAGCCAACGCCGCCACCACGCAGCCTCCAGGCCTCCGCAGACGCCAACGCGGCGCAGGAATGGGGGGGGCTGCGAAAAAAAACACAGCGGGCAGCCGACGCCCTCTGAAAGCAGGCACTCGCCTGCATGCTTGGGGGGGCCTGAGAGCGGGAGCAAGGCCACCCCCTCGGACCCATGGCCACGGGGTGGGGACAGGGTCACCCGCGCGCGCCCGAGCAACCAAACACGAGGTGCCGCGCGCCGAGGGAAGGGAGGACCGGTCGGCCACGAGCCTCCCGAAAATGAAAAGGGGGGACCTAGCCGTGCCTCTTCGTCCTCCACTTCCTCCTCCTCCTCCCCCTCCCCCTCCCCCTCCTCCTCCTCCTCCTCCTCCTCCTCCTCCTCCTCCTCCTCCTCCTCCTCCTCCTCCTCCTCCTCCTCCTCCTCCTCCTCCTCCTCCTCCCCTTGTGACGTCAGGCGGGCTTCGATGGCTGCGATCGTAGCGTGCGTCCTGCTCCTCCTCCTCATCCTCCTCCTCCTCCTCCTCCGCCTCCTCCTCCTCGAGCGGCGAATAGGCGAATTGATGAGCGCCCACGCGCGCGGACCACAGACCATGACCGCCCAAGCGGCCCAGCAGCAGCGGCGGCCCAGCAGCAGCGGCGGCCCATCCCAGCACCCCGGCAGCACCTGCCAGCCGGCAGGGGCCCAGATCTTCTTCGGCCACGGCGGCGTTCGGGGGAAGTTCCTCGTCCTTGTCGTTCTGATCCTCCTTATCATCCGTCCTCCTCCCCCTTCATCCTCATGCTCCTCCTCCTCCTCCTCCTCCTCCCCCTCCTCCTCACCATCCTCGTCCTGCTCCGACGCATCATCCGTCACCCCCCCGTCACCACCTCTCCTTCACCCTTTCTCCCTCCTATATACTCCTGCCTGTCGTACACCTAGACGGGTCGTCATGGCAAGCTGGGCGTTTCGTTTGAGACTTCCTCCGATGTAAAAGCTCGAACATTGAAGCTTCCATCTGTTGCACGGACGGCGCACTGGTGTTTTTCAAAACGGGCCTGTCGCAATGGCGCTGAGCACGTTCGTTCTGGAAAAACAAAGTTTCATGCAATGATGGTGGTTCGTTTTCAAATTGGGGCCTTCGCCTTGGCAACCCGCATTCCCGTCTCAAAAATCCAACAAAACATCCGCGGATGGATGGCAGGCTCTTTTCAAAATGGGGTCCCCCTTAAGATGCCCTCATGTATTGTGACCCGATATCCAAACCCATTACACGGATAGACGGCTAGCTCCTCTGAAAACCTGGCGTCTTCGCTTCGGAACTCCTCGAGGCGCATTTTTATTGTATTTCCATTTAAAATTACATATATCTATATATAGATATGCATACATACATACATACATACATACATACATACATACATACTGAACGCGTGCAGCGCCTGGGCGGCTTTTTTCCAAACAGGGCTACCGCGGGACACTTCTTTGAACTTTACGGCCCAGTCTCTTCGCACCCCGTACATGCAGAAGGGTGGATCCTGAGTCTCGCCTGGATGGCGGGCCCACGAGGCGTTCGTCTGTTAAGCGGAGGGGGGCGCTTCCTGCTGCAAGGAATGAAAAAAAGAAGGGGGTTACTCTAGTCCCTGCTATTATTCCTCCTCCTCCTCCTCCTCTTCCTCCTCCTCCTCCTCCTCCTCCTCCTCCTCCTCCCTCCCCTCCTCCTCTTCTTCCTACTCCTCCTCAATATGCTTCTTCGCCGCTCCGTACCCCTCGACTTACCATCAGCAATCGCCTGGTACGGCATCACCTTGGGCTTGTTGATATCGTGAGAATTGCGGAAGCCATCCTGGGAGGAGGAAAGGAAGGGGCGGGGAGGGGGGCGGGAAACAGTTGTTTGCCTGGGTATTCATCATCCCTGCAAGATGTTCCGACGATAGATCATGGTCAGCGGGCTCCGCAGACGACATGGGTAAGAAGGGACAATGCCGTCAAGCATACACTAAGGCAACACTGAAGGGAGGGGGCCGGCCCGCCGGCCGACGCACGCGGGCGCGCCGCAGGCTCGCTCCTTTTCCGTTTCCCTAAAGCCGAAGTAGTACAGCTGCGGGAGCAGAAGTAGTCAGTCAGCACAGCAGGCGGACAGCGCGCACAAGGAGAGAGAGCAGGCAGGGCGAAAGATTGGTGGTGCGGAAGGGGTGCATTCACTCCCCCCGCGGCGAGGTCCGTAGAGCCGCCCCGACCCCCCAACCCACCTGGCCTGTACATATGCACAGCCACCGGAGCGAACCCCAAAAGCATTTTACCCTTCAACGGTGGTTGCCAGGGGGCGGTAGGCCGAAGAACCCCGACGTTCCCCGCCTGAGCTAATATTTCCAGCTGCGGCCACAATGCCCATGCACACCTGGTGCACCCGCTCCACGAGGCAGTGTGGACCAGCATCGACTTTGTCGCACTGGTTCCATTGCGCTGCATCACCTTCTCCAGCAACCTCTCCATTCACGAGAGCAGACCCAAGGATCGCTGTTGCTCCAACGCCACTGGTTCTGATTCCTGGAGGACATGTCCTCTCTTCTGCTCGAGTTCAAGCCACTTGGCTCACTCTTGCCCTGGCCCTTTTCCGGCGGTCTCGCCTTCGGCGTTGGCGGCGGCGGAGGCGCTGGCAAGGCACTTGGCATCCCAGAGTCACGCTGGAACTCGTCATTGTACTCGTCCAGACTAGACCATTGCCACGTTTTGCTGTGACTGGTGACTTGACGTTGCCGGGATGCATGTACATGGTACCCTTGGATTTCTCCATTCTCGCTCTTGTCTTCGCAGTCGACGGTCGCGTCGTAGACGCCGTCCACGGCCGGCCCGGGACCGCCGCCATTGCTCGCGCGGCCGCCAAACTGCTCTACAGCCAATATTTCAGGGATGGGCTCATCAGTCCACGATTCGCCCGCACACGACTGGAACCTGTCATAACCGATCCAGCCAGCATCGGCGCCTGACGCGGCTGAGCCGGCAGACGCAGGTGCACAGGGGCGGCCCGATAAGACTGCCCTCCACACTGGTACCTCGGTTGCGATGCTGGGCGAGAGCACTGCTGAGTTCGCGGTCCCGGGGCGGCGGCGCCGCTCGGGGCGTCGCCTTCAACAACTGGGGTTGCAGCATCTGCTGGCGACTCGGCTGGGATTGTCTCGGTTGGAGAATTGGCTGGGCCATTCTCCTCCTTTTTCTTCTTAAGACAATTGGTAATCACAATAGCGCTATCGGCATTGAAGACCCCAAATAGGCTGATGGCTAGACAAATCTTGACACTAAATTGAGACTCCGTAGACGCGTGCATGAAAACCATTGCCCCTTGGATACCTGAGCAATTCCGTCGCACGGTCTCCGAGACTGCATTTCCTAATCAGTTGATCCAATTATGAAGTCAATCAAATGTCTCTACTGCAGATCGGATCCGACAATCCAAAGCATATGCATCTTGAACGATTTGGGCGGATTGCGGATCACGCTGCACCTCATACCCCGGAAACGCAACATGGATTCCCGCGGACATGAACAAGAATATGACTTCGCGCACAGCTAACAGAATTCTAAGATGGGCGGGGATTCGATCAAACGGTCGCCTCCAAAGTCTATCCACAAGGTCGGATAATCCCGGCGGGGCGTCATGAATGATGCATGTGTCCAACGGGCTCGCATTTGGAACAGTCGATAAGTATTCAAGAACGAATTGCGCTGCAACTTTGATAACTTCTGGCCTCTCGCATGTTTCATTGTTGCAGTTATAACCACACATGCAGCAAGAAACCAAAATCAAATCAAGCCAAAGGGCAGCGCTCTATTCGGAACAATCACTGGATGTCGCTGGGCGATATGTTTATCACATACGCCGTCCGACATCGCAGCCTTATCTTCACGTTCCGAATTGACTTCATGATTGCGGCTTGGCCGATGATGAAGTTCAGCAACGATTCGGAATTCTATGTCTCCTACTTGGTTCGATGCAGACGCTCGGCTCGCTGCTTCCAAGTTCTCCGTCAACACTCGAACAGATGGAATGACAACTCCTCTTTCTTCCATCTCTCGTTCCCATGGGTCCCAGCCCGTCTCCGGTCGAATTTGTTCTGCGCTAACATGTTCCCAATCGAAAGCTGCAAGTGCAGAGCATCTCATAGGACGAGCAAAATCAATGGCCACAACTGGGCAGCTGCGGGGCGAGCGCCCCCATGCTTTTCCTCTAGCCAGTCAATGAATCTGAGCTTGAGGGGTTCAAGATACTGGAAGTATGGCTCGTGACGCGCCGGCGGCTGTGCCGAGGCGCTGTCAGGGCGCCAGGAAGGAACGGCATCTGGCAGCGAGCTCATGAACGCACCACCAGCCTAAGCCGTCTTGGAACGCATGTGTTCCTGATTAACCCATTTGCGCTGACGTTGTTCGGCCTTGCTCAAGCTGTCCAAAACATCAGCAGAGCTCTTGCTCATTGCTCTTAGCCTGTTAAAAATCATATTAGATCCGTTCTCTCTTCTCGGGGGGCATCAAGACGTGGTTTCAGTCCTGGTATCGCCCACGCAGCAACCAATTCGTTTTCTCCCGGCGGTTGCAACTAATTCGCTCTGACGTGTGTTCTGTACCTGACAGGAACGAGGCATTGCAACAGCATCCGCAATCAGCCCTCACGGCATGATATTGCGCGCGAATGCACCTCCCATCGTGTGTCCGCATACTCCGCGCGATGAGGGCCTTTCCCTCTTCGGACTGCGCACTTTGCCATACATCGACCACTTGTTCATCGGAGAAGATCCACGTTCTGACTGTAGCAGACGAGAGAGCAACCTCCCACGCAGACCACTCTTGTGAAAACATAAAAGGTCCACATCATATGTGGTACGTTGTTTCTACCAACTTGTTAAACCACTTGCAGTTGCCAATACAAGAAATATCATCGAAACGTGCTTGTCCTGTCGCCACAGGAGTTCCATCGCGACAGACGCGATACCTTAGGCGGGTCACTACCCGTCCATTGAAGACATCAACAAATTGCCAAGCCCCATTACGCGTCACATCAGCGCCCCAGAAAGACGGGGTGATTGCATGAGGCCAAGCTCCCTGAGTGGGGGGTCCACCGCCGGCTGGGGCAGTACCCTCAGCGTGATATACCTTGGCGGGTGGAGAACCACCGTCCTCCCGCTGGCTGGGCCAGCGAGGGACGTGTCCAGCATATTCCACGGGGAACTCGAGCCTCGTCGGTATCAATCTGAGAAGTCGGTAGTCAGGTGCTTTGCACAATCCACTAGACTTGTTCGGGTACTTGATAGTCCCTTCTCCCAGCGTTGATTCCTTTATGGTTTCTACGGGTGTAACATGTAGCAGATGCCCGTGGCACCGCGCCATCCCAATTTCGCAAGGAGCATACATGCGCTCTATGCTGCGAGCAAAACAAGAGTGCCCCTAACATGCACGAAAGAAAAGTGGCATGGGTTCGACAGCCCGTTCAGCTCTATCAATGGTGATGACTAGGTCCCCGTGTTCCTCATCAACGATTTTGTCGCTTGAGGCGTCCGGGTGCAGAAAAGACCGCCATTGCTCAATTATCTGTGTTTCTTCAAGAATCGTAATGTCGTCGGCTCTAATGCCTAGAACGTCCATTTCTCCCAATGGCAGCATTGTCAGGCCGTGCGTTGCAAGAGCAGCAGTGGCGCGTGTGATACCATCAATCGTCATCTTCCAAATCAGGTCGCCGACATACACCCACGCGCCCGATGATCGGACGCATTCGGCGCAGTGTCTCGCCATGTACACCGCGCACTCGCCTACAAACTGCGCTTGGGAGTGCGGTCGCCGGCTGCATTTTCTCCAAAACTCTGAGCTTCCCGGCATGGCGGGCCTCCGGCCATGCTTCAACAGCTTTGCCTCCGCTTCCTCGGCTGCGCCGGTAGGGTCATTCGGCAACACTCGAGAGCGAGTGCATTGTAGGCCTCCTGGGGGATGGAATCTGGCCTGTCATCCGAGTCAAGCTCTGCTATGAGAAGTTTGAATGCTTGGTCAAAACTTTCTCCCTCTGGCACCCCAAGCAGCGCAAAGATTGGGTCGCGCACCATGCGCGCGTTCTCCTTGATCGCATGATAGGCACGCCCACGAACGGCTGCGATGCGGGGGGGCACTGGACCAGCCATGTGGGCTTCAGTTACCTGCTTTCGGACTTCGTCACTCGTTCCATCACGAGTGTCCTCTCGCTGTGGTTGATTAAAGTACAGAAGTCCTCCCTCAATAGTGAATTTTGCATGACTGACACCCCTATTTGGACCGGGAGGGTCTTGCTCCTCAGGACGGAGCCGTTTATGATCAGGCGTCGGCGGAAGAGTCACGCGCAAGAACAAATTCGTGACTCCTGGACTATTATCAGCATCCACGTCTTCCGCGATTAACAAATAAGACTTCTCCCCAGAAGAAGGGATCCTCAGTCTATTGCCCTGCGGTTCCGCAGGTCGCGCGTCACTTTCCCCGCCCGCTGCCGCGCCTGACCCTTCGTGGACCCTGGCTGTACCAGTCAACGTCACAGGGCCCAAGATCACTCTGAGATTTGGAACTTCTCCTGTAGGAACACAATCCGAATAGCGAACCTGGAGAAAGTTACGTAAAACAAAAAAAGCGGCCACATTTTTGCATGGCAACGAGTACTCAGAGGGTTCGTTCCTCTTCTCATCTCCTTGTTTTAAACTGCGAAGTGCCCGGGTCATCGCGTCATCCCTCAAAAAGGTCGCCCCTAACAGCGTCAAGCTGGAGTCAGCCGGGGCGGGCTTGCCAGCGCATTATGGGCTCATTACGAAGGGGCAAATGTGCTCAGCTCGGTTGATC